GTCAACCCCCCACGTGCCCAACCCCTGCTGCCCCAAAGAGGGAGTGGTCAGCCCCCACGTGCCCAACCCCTGCTGCCCCAAAGAGGGAGTGGTCAACCCCCCACGTGCCCAACCCCTGCTGCCCCAAAGAGGGAGTGGTCAGCCCCATGTGCCCAACCCCTGCTAAGGAACTCTAGTTCCTCCTGACACCCCTTACAAACCCCCCAGTGAAACCTGAAAAAGCAACCCTCTCTGCTTTCGTCTTGTTCACCCCAGCCTCTGCTACAACCTCTACCCAGAAAACACTGCGCCCTCCCCTGTAGTGAGCATTTCCCCATTTTGTAAGTGAAACTATTTTTGTAGGGAAAAGGGTGTTTCTTCAAGCACTTGCCTCCAGCTTCTGGATGGCAGGCAGCCTTGGCATTCCCCACATGGTGCGTGGGGCTTGCCCCAGGGAAGGGGAGGCGGGGGCCCTAGGGAGGCCAGTCTCCACGAGTGGGGAGAAGCTAGAAAGCCAGCAGCAAGGGATCCATGATGTTCTGTCCGCTGAGAAGGGGAACTAAAGCCACTTAGGGCGCAGAAATTGTCTTACGCACCCGCACCCGTCTCCCAGTCGCACCCGTACCCGTCTCGCAGTGCGCCAGCACTCTGCCCTGATCCACCCTGAGCTCCCCTGTCGCCCGGCCTGTGGGCCCAAGAGGGGCCAACCCCCAGAACAGCCGGTGCTTGTTCCCCCCCACCCCCTCCCTGTACCACCTGACTCTACCTCAGATATGAGGCTCCTCCCACCCCCGTCCCACTCCGCACCCCCTACCTACCGCTTTGTGCAAGTGTGACTTGTGATGCATGCCTGCCGTCAATTAGTACTGTATTCCGCATTCCCTAATAAAGCACAGCAATGGAAAGAATTCAGGTTCATGGGTTTTTTTTTTTTTTTTTTTTTTTTGTTGGTTTGTTTTCCTGGTGTTAACCAGTTAACCAGAAGCAGGGACCTGGTGTCCCTCGACAGTCCCTTTCAATCTATCAGGGTGGGCCCCTTCCCGGCCTGGCAGCCTCCCAGGCTCAGCATCCAAGCTTTCACCTAGTGTTCAGGTTGCCTGGCCACCTGGCTGGCTCAGCATTTCAGTGTCCCCTGAGGCTGTCCCCTGCTCCCCTGCGCTCTCCTTTCCTCCCTTCTCCGAGGCAGCCCCTCCAGTGTTGCCTTCAGCTGGACTGGGTCTCCTGGTGACAAGGTCCACTCTTCCTCTTCTGAAATGTCTCGGTTCCGGCAACGGCCTGATGCTAGCAATCTCTGCGTCCCTCGGCTCCTCGCTTCTTGGAAGAATGTGGGACTCCTGTTTTGGTTGTGTCTCTCCCTCTAGCTGGACATGGGCTTCTCTTTGGTTTGGCTGTGGTTTCCCTAGGGTGTGACTGTGTGGGGTTCATCGGTTCCGGGAAACCTCATGTCATTCTTTACAAATCTTCTGCCCATTTCCCCTCTGTCCCTCTGGGACGGCCATCCAACTATGGCAGAGCCTCCACCTCTGTCCTGTCAGCACTGCTGTGTGTCTCTCCTTTTGACTCACCCTACAGGGGTCTACACAGCTCGCCTTCTAGCTCATGCACGCCTGTGTCCCTCAGCTGCCAAACAGAACCACTGAGTCTCCATTCCAGTTGCCAATTACTGCCATGGCCAGGTGCTGTTGGGGTGGTAGAGATGCTCAGTGTCCTCATCCGGTTTCCTGTTCCCCAGAGTTTCTTTCAAGCTCACGCCTTATTTCTGTAAAGCCAGTGGCCATTTCAAAGTTGGGGTCTGGCACTTTTACCACATAGACTCCGTGGATCTGTCTCTGCTTCCTGTTCACGTTACCCTGTTTCTTTGTGTGCCTGGTTATCTGCCACATGTTCACTCAACCCTTGAAAGTGCATTGTGGGTTTTCTACAAAGCCGAGGATGGCGGCAGCTTCCTGCAGAAGACAAGGGCTTTCCATCTGCTTCCTGTGGACACTCCAGCCTCTCCTGTCGAGAACTACTTCATGCCAGCTCCGTGCCCTGCAGCTCTGCCTTAGCCTTCAAAGCTGGCACCGGCCAGAGCGCGGGGTATCTGGTTCTCACAGTACTGAATATTGCTGTCTCAGCAGGGCCCCAGGGCTGTGCATCACTCTGGCCCACGGCACTCCCCTGAATTGGGTTTGATGCTTTCCTCCTGTCCTCTGTGCTACAACCACCTATCCAGCCCCATGCTGGCTCTGCCAGTCAGAGACAGGGAGGGAGGGAGGGAGGGAGGGAGGGAGGCAGATGTAGCACAAGGCTCAGAGCTTCAAGGGCCTCTTAGAATCCAAATCAGGACAAGTCCCCTGTTCTAGAGGAGAGGGAAGATGGGGTCAGGAGAGGCTCCACATGGCTATTGAGGAATGGATAGGGGTTCACCAGGTAACTCCAGCAAAGGCCTAGGAAAATGAGAGCTAGAGCATTCCAAAACAGTTAGTGCTTCCAGGTGCCTCCCTGACAGGCTCAGCCTGGAGCTACCAGTTCCAGATGCTCTGTGCCTATACCACAGAGGACAGGTGCTCCTGGCAGTACCCATATACCCATGTCACCAGGTGAGCCCTGGTAGGGGCCCCCTCATCCACAGACCACCCTCTCTGGTGTCCACTCAGACCCTGCCTAGTCTTTAATGATGCCCATCTGTGTGTTCAACCCCTGCAAATGTCCATGCCCCCGCCCCTTGAGTCCCAATGGGCAGTCAGTATGTGGTTATGCTCCCATTGGCTGGCTATCACCAGAGGTAGAGCTAAACTTCCCTTTCTGTAGCCTAAGGACACTGGTCCTTTCCTGAGGCTTTCTAGACAGTTGACAAACTCCTGTATGGAGTCCAGCTGGGGTGTGGGAATATAGAGAGCCATTTGGGGAGGCAGTAAAATGTGTCAAGGGTACAGGCTTCAGGGATGGGTGGTCCCAGCATGCCTCTTGCCCTTGGAACAGAGACCTCCTCAGTAGGCCATTGGGGGTCATGGCCATGCGCTGTGGGGGGGCTACCTGCTAGTGATTCTCAGATGACAGTCACAACCTGACTCGGTGAACAAGCCAGCAGCAGATGCAGCCTGTGGAGGCATCTCTACACAGGGCTGCTTTCCTCCCAGGGCACCTCTGATCTGATGGTGCAGGGTGCAGATGCGAAAGCGGGATGGGGTGAGTTGGGCCCAGGAGGGTGGGTGGAGGGAGAACCCACACTCCAGGTTCATCCTGCTCTGTGCTTTCCAAATTTAGCTTTCCTATTTTTAAATTGCAAATGGTGAACTCCCGACACCTCAGCTGGGATCAAAGTCAATCTTCCTGAATGTTCTTTGGAGGAAGACATTTGAAGAAAGCAGAGGAAGGAAGCAGGGGACACACCTGCCCTCCTGCCCGGAACCATGGGGCACCAGCTCCTTCGAGGACAAACCAAACACTAGGGATGGCACCAGGAAACAACCACAATGGGACTCCCGGAGACCCCTGACTGGTCCCCTGGACCTGAGTCAGAGCATGGAAGATTCAAACGGTGTCTGTCTGTCCTGGTAATACCAACAGGGCGACAGTCTGTAGAACTCTTTCCTCTACCCTCGTTGTCCCTACAGGCCCACTGTGGACCTGAGAAAGCAGAGGTTCAGAGAAGCCAAATCCCACAGCATCAGGGGGCAGCAGGCCCAGAGTTTGATCAGGGCTCCATGGGCAGAAGGGGGCTGGGCACTGAGGTAGACAGGGAAGGCCCCTAAAACCACCCGCTAGCCCTCCTGGAAAATCCTGACGACCAGAGCCAGTCAGTGGTGATGCCAACACTGCAGTGGGGACAGTAATCGGAAGATACCCCAGGGTAGGGAGAAACCTTGGGATGGCAGCTGTGTGTGTGTGGGGGGGGGGGGCACCACTGGGAGAGGCTGGGCCTACTGCGTTCTAGTTAATTCAGGCCTGCAACTGGGGAGACACTCACGAAGACACCATCAGGGGCCCTGAGTTCTTCAGGGAGTACCCCAGTCCTCTGGCTCATGCTGGGAGATACTGATCACAGCTCCCCATCTGCCTGGGCAAAGAGTCCTAGTCTAGGAGGGCTTGAGACAGAAGCCAGCTGAGCTAAAGCTCCCAAGAGTTTGTCAAGTGGGAAGGAAGGAAGCAGACCCCTGCCAGCATCCTCTGCCAGGACTAAGTCTGGACCTTGCTAAGACCCTGAAAGCAGGAGGGACAGCAGCCCTCGGCCTGCCACTCACGACCTTAGAATGGGACCTGGCCCCAGGATCCACCTGAACAGGCTCAGCTCCACAGGCAGCCACAGATCCAAGCATCTTGAGCCACCCACTGCTCGCAGGCCCCATGATGCTCTTCCGGGGATGAAACTGAGACAATGAGTGAGCACACAGCTTGCCTGAGGCCACACAGTAACGAAGGAAACACAGAGGCGGAGTTCGAATCTGGTCCCGACAGGCTACACGGCAGTTATTCATTGCATGCTTATGTGCCAGGGGCACAGCAGGACACAAAGCTCTGCCCAGGGAGCTTACTCCATACCTGAGTGTCAGTCACACAGGACAGCACAGGGTGGAAGCCAGTGCTTGAGGGAGGAGGAGGCTCTGTTGCTTCCCTGTAGCTCCCTGAATGAGGAAGAGGGTATGCTTATGGGGGAAGGACAGCAGCCTAGGGCCAGGATAGTGGGTAGAAGGGCCCAGAGGCACCCAAGCACAGAGGAGGCAGCCTGGGGACAGGGAACTGAGCTGACCTATTGTGGCAGCAAGGACATTGGAGCTTTAGGACAAGCCTCAGCCTGGGGCCCTGACCTGCTTTACCTTGGTGGGACCGGCCCCCCAGTGCCTTGGACACTAAAATAAACGTCCTTACACAGCATCCCCGAGCCACCTTTGGCCTCAGACTTGGGCTCACTATGGCCAACACTCTTCCAGCTCCCCAACACATCTGCAGGGTGCTCTCTTGACTTCTGGCCTCCCAGGTGAGGAACTGGGGCAGAGGGAAGGAGGCAGGTCTTGCCTGGGATTAGACTGTAGAATGGGGTAAGGTGCGAAATCATACACCACTCTGCCAAGTCCCAGGCCTCCTCCCCTCCTCCCCTCCCTGTCCCTCACCCCAACCTACAATTGAGTCCCTGGGCCATCAGGCAATCTCTCAGTTACAATTCTGGTAGTGTTTGAGACTCATGGGCCCGCCCAGGTCCATAAGGAGCTAGGCTTCCTGTCTTAGTCATTGTTCTATTGCTGTGAAGAGACACCAGACCAAGGCAACTCTTATGAAAGAAAGCATTTAATTGGGGCTTGCTTACAGTTTCAGAGGCTATTAACATCATGATGGGGAGCATGGCGGCATGTAGGCAGACATGGTGCTGGAGCAGTAGCTGAGAGTTCTACACCCTGATCTGAAGGCAGAGAGGGAGACAGAGAGAGACAGAGACACAGAGAGAGACAGAGACACAGAGACAGAGACAGAGTAGGAAGGAAAGACTGGGCCTAACATGGGCTTTGAAACCTCAAAGTCCATCCCCAGTGACACACTTCCTCCACAAGGCCACACCTCTGAATCTTCCTAATCCTTTCAAACAGTTTCACTCTCTAAACATCCAAATGTACAAGCCTTTGGGAGTCATATTTTTTTTATTCAAACCACCACACTTCCTAACCCAGCCCAGTCAGTTCCTGAAGGTGCTTTTGGGACCCTGCTCCTCCTCATCACCCCTTCCAGGATAGACACATAGCTGTGGCCAGCACAGACTCCCACCTGGCCATGGGCAAGCAGCAGCGTAGAGGACCAGAGAGGTGACCAGGGAGAAGCAGAAGCATGGCTTTGGTGTCTAGTAGGGAGCAGGTGAGTAGTAGGGCCCCGTGGAGTTCCTGCACAGAGTTCCTGGGCAGATCGAAGACCCAGAGCCCCAGTGTCCCAAGGATAACACTCTCGGGACCAGCAGGTGACAATCCCACCTCAAGCCCCCCTACCTGCAGGATGAAGGTAACAGGGGCTGCTGGTATGCGTTCATTTCCAAAGTCACACTAAGAAAAACTATAGAACACACACTTACTGATTGAGCATCACCAGGCATTTGGCAAAAGCCTTTACTAATGCAGTCCTTACACCCTGAGACAGCTTCTCAGCCCCATTTTACAGATGAGTCACTGAGGCTCAGCAGGCAGCCGGGCAGTCCCCCTGCACTGGCCTAACCTCCAGTCAACTTCGGTGTCAGCCACCCAGGGGCAGGGTCGCAGTTGCCAGTTAGTGCCAGATCTTGATGTCTCCTCCCCAGGAGCAGGTGCCAAGGACCGAAGGCAGCACAGGGTGGTAGGTGGTGCCAAGGCAGGCCTGAGCATGCCCTTGCAGGGTGCAGGCCCGGCTGGCAGTGCGGAAGCTGAACATCAGAACCCGGCCATCAGCGCTGCCTGTCACCAGCAGGTCACCACATGGGGAGCACTCACAGCCCACAGCATAGCCTTCCACCTGTGGAGAAAGACAGAGCCGGCGACCGGTGAGGCGGTAGCTAGGACCCCACACTACAAAGGAGGAGCTGAGGCCAAGAAGCAGCCAAGCACGGGGTTGGCTTTACACCTAGTGACCCCAAGGCCAAAGGCTGAGCTATAACTGTGAGGCTACAGGATGGTGGGGTGGCCTGGTACCCCAAGGCCACTAGCCCCAACAGTCACATCAAACCTATGGCCCATGGCTGCTGGTCTCCAGTACATGAATACCCAACACAAATGTAACCTTACTTAAAACAGTATGTGTATTTTATTTTATTTTATTGTAGCCCAATTGCACAGCACTCGAGTGTAAACTTCATAGATGACAGCATCTAACCACAATGTCCTGGTAATGGAACCCAGATGCAGTAGCTTCTGCAGAGCTGAGGTTCGGCACCAAGTAGTCAGTGAGTCCCCAGCCTCTTCCAGCCCAGCAAAGTGGGCCTCAGGCAGGAAAGGGGTACATAGAGAAATGGCTCCCAAGTCTGTCCTACCCTGCTCCTGTTCCCACCCCATGACATGGGAACTGACATGCTCTCCTGCCTATGGCTGGGCATGTGGCCTGGACCCTGAATGGACCCTCACATACACAGTCAGAGTGCCCAGAGGGTCCATGTGCCCTGGAGATGCATGGCTGGAAGCTTGGGGACCAATGGTGAGCATCTGACCTAAGTAACAAAGATGGGGGGTACCTTGTGCCCTTCATAGCGTCGCCGTCTGCTCATCCGATAGGGCCACACAGAGGAGAAGAGAGCCAGGTAGTTGCCATTGGTTTGTGCCAGGAACACAGGCTCCCTCGGATGCAAGGCAAGGCTGGGACAGGTGTACCTCTCCTGAGAAAGCAGGACCACAGAGGGATGAAGGCTACCACGGTGGAGTCTCTGCCTCCCACAGATCATCACCCAGCCTGCACTCTGCTCCTGGGGTTTTGTCCCCTTCTCCTGGGCCTTGGCTTGGGGGGTCTGTATGGGTTGCTGTTGTTCTAACAAGTTCCTATATACTCAGAGCTTTAAAACAATGCAACTGTCCTATTCTGCTGCTCTGCAGTCTGAGGTGGAGCTCAGCGTGTTAATCCAGTGTCAACACATGTGTCCCTTCCGCAGGGTGCTGAAGGAGGTCCTCATTTATATATATGTATATATGTGTATATATATATATATATATGTGTATACACACATATATGTGTGTGTGTGTATGTGTGTGTGTGTGTGTGTGTGTGTGTGTGTGTGTGTGTGTGTGTGTGTGTGTGTGTGTATTGAGACAGTGTCTTACTTTATAGCCCTGGCTGACTTGGAACTTAATATGTAGACCAGGCTGGTCCCAAACTCAAAAAGATTGGCCTGCCTCTGCCTCCTGAATGCTGAGATGAAAGGTGTGTGCTACCACACCCAGCTCTAAGACTGTCCTTAAGCTACCAACTTGAAAGTATCCCAGCAGAGCCAACAGCTCTCTGGGAGCAGCTGGATCACGATGCCCACTGGACTGGTGACGAGCCAGCATCCTGGTGAGGATTTCAGCAAAGCACTCATCGTCCCTGAGTGTGTGGAAGCGGATAGAGGCAGACGGTGGCCAGCAGCACACTCACCTGCCTTGCACTCATCTCTGCCAGGCTCTCTGAGGCAGTCTGAAAGTCGGCTCAGTCAGGTCCACTCAGAACCCATTGAGCAGAAGGACAAGGCAGGGAGAAGAAGGTCTAGATGCACTCATGGTCACAACTAAGACCAAGGGCAGGACACTCAAGAGATCAGTAACAGCTTACCATTACCAAAAGATGGTCATGGTGGTGACCATCACCTCAACAGTGATGGAGGTGGTGGTGGTGACGACAATGTTGGTGATGGTGGTAGAGATGATGGTGGTGGAAATGGTGGTGATGAGGACTAAAGTGACATTGACATGGTGGAGATGGTGGTGGTGGTGATCCCAGTGATGTTGATGTGGTGGAGATGGTGGTGGTGGTGACTACCGTGTTAGTGATGGTGGTAGAGATGGTGGTGGTGGAGATGGTGGTGGTGGTGATCATAGTGATGCTGATGTAGTGGTGATCACAGTGATGTTGATGTGGTGGAGATGGTGGTGGTGGTAATCAGTGATGGTGATGGTGGTAGAGATGGTGGTAGTGATCACAGTGATCTTGACATGGTGGAGATGGTGGTGGTGGTCGTGGTGGTAATCAGTGATGGTGATGGTGGTAGAGATGGTGGTGGTGATCACAGTGATGTTGATGTGGTGGAGATGGTGGTGGTGGTAATCAGTGATGGTGATGATGGTGATGTGGTGATGGCAGTGGAGGTAATGATTATAGTGATGGTAACGGTGGTGGTGGTGGTAAAGAAGGTGACACTGATCATGACAATGTGGTGATGGTAGTGACCACAGCGGTAGTGGTAGTGGCAGAAGTGATAATGATGGGGATCACAGTGATGGTTATGTTGGTGGTAAAGGTGGTGGTGGCAGTGGTGATCACTGCGATAGTGATGTCAGTAGTGATGATGATGGTGGGTTGGTAACAATAGTTAAACCATTATGGAGGAGTCTCTGTGTCTGATGCTGTGTTAGATCTTTATAAGCATTTTCTTTCTGTAGTTCTTGGTACTCTATGAAGTGAGTATTCTCGCCACCATGGGTGGTTGAACCAGAAAGGGTAGTCTACAGAGGCCATCACTGTGTGCAGGAGTCCTGGGCCTGACCTATGCCTACCCCTATCCTACATATTCCAAATAGCTCATCTCCTCCTCCCCCAGACAGAGAGGGGTCCAGGGCCCCAACCCAGGGCTACAGGAATGTCCCCCATGGCTGACACCGAGAACAACTCTACACAGGGCTTCTCACATGGAAAATTTGGTTGGAGATCTTGGCAGCGGTCCGGAAATCCCAAGCAATAATGGTTCGGTCAGCAGAGTCCCGAGTGGATGCGTCGGTGCTGCTCAGGAACTCAGACCCTTCTTGGAGGAAGAGGATGTCCAGGGTCTGCTGGATGGTTGCCTTGTAGCCTCTCACCACCTGCAAGGAAGGGCCCTAGTCACCATGATGGTCCTGGGAGTATGGGGCAGGTGCCCGCCTAGGGAGAGCCAAGGGGAGTTACCAAGTACCATGCATGGGCAGGGTTAATAAAAAGGTACTAGGCCGCACACTCATGTGGTTTCCTAGGACTTTCCAACCTCAGCTGGCCAATGTCTATTGCTCTTGGGAATAAATGGCCTCCCAGAGGCAAGCTGACCTCTGGTTATGCCCACCTCACCCCTGTCAGTGCATGGGTGGGTCCAATGAGATCCACTTGTTTCCTGGGATGGCAGGGTCCCTCCACAGCAGCTGAATACAAGGAAAGCACATAAGGGACGGGGTTCCCACCTTGCCCTAGGTACTGAAAGGAAGAGTGACATCCAGTGATAACGGTGTTATACTTCTGAGAGGGCCTGAAGATGTCACAGCTACAAAGCCTGGACTATGTACTGTCTCTGGATGAATAAGGATCACACAGGGAGCAAGCATTCTTGGAGAGAGAAAATAACATCAGAATCTCAGATATCAGGAGGAATTTTACTTTTTTGTTTGTTTCCTGGATCTCGCTCTGAAGCCCAGGCTCGCCTCAGACTCAGAGATCCACCTGCCTCTGCCTCCCGAGTGCTGGGATTAAAGGCATGCACACCACAGCCAGGCAGAATGTACTTTGCTTTTAAAGACATGCTTTATGTTCTGGGGCCCAACACAAGGACTCAGAGCAACTATGCTGAATGAGCTCTCCCATGGCATGAGGCCAGCTGCACTACTAAGAAGACACTCAGCGCTGTCCGGATGGCTAACACAGCCAGGACTCCAGCTGCCCCCCGGGACTGGCCACGGGGGTTATCAGCTCCCTGGGCGCCACCATGTGGCTACAGCAGACACACAGTTCTCAGGTCACCTGCTGCCAAGCCTCTCCCATCCCAGTTGCTACCCTGGGGCCCACAACTGGGTTGTCTGCTGGCCAGTTCCTGTCTCTGTAAGTTCCTAGGGACAAACACGGGCAACAAATAACTTGGCGTCTTTAGAAACAGCCTTCTACTAAGGTGGCATCAGGGTGCCCTCCCCCAAGCCCTGAAGAGGAAAGGCCAGCCCTGCAGACTCATGAAGGTAGGCAGATGTTTTCTTGCATGCCATCCCCCAACACCAGGATTCAAAGTCACAGCTTCATAGGGTAGCAGGGAAGAGCTCCAGGCAGGGTCCACACTGCTGCTGAGATATACCCTGGATAGGTCAGAAGCTGAGGCAGCATCTAGGACCCAGGAGAGGACAGGACAGATCCCAATCCCCAACATCTGCTCCCACAAGTTTACACAACATCCAGTGTTCAAGCGAGGTGCTGGCCTCTGCAGCTGATGCAGTCTGCTGATGGGCAGAGGGGTCTGGAGCAAACAGAGGGCTCACCTTGACTCTGGGAGTCTCTTCACTGGCTCTGCTCATCCCCTAAGCCAGAGGTTCTCAGGCTTCCTAATGCTGCAACCCTTTAATACAGTTCCTCATGCTGTGGTGACCTCCAATCATATGATTATTTTCGTTGCTACTTCATAACTGTAATGTTGCTACTGTTATGAAATGTAATGTAAATATCTGTTTTCTAATGGTCTTAGGTGACCCCTGTGAAAGGATTGTTCGACCCCCAAAGGGGTTGAAATCCACAGGTTGAAAACCACTGTCCTAAGCAGTTCACTCCCATCACCCTTAAAGCCTTCTCATGCATCACTTGGCATGTCTGTGGCCACATCTACTCTTCCTTCTGTACCTCTCTCCATCAAGCACAGGCCAGGCTGCCAGGCCATCAAGGGACAGCCAGGAAGGAGATTAAATGCACAGTGAGAAATGGGTCTAGTCCAACCCTCATCTCTGGACAGATCTCTGGAACTGGCTTCTATACTTCTCCCCAGCAAATACATGTCAGAACCCTCCGGTTCATAGAGAAGAGCAGTTAGTAGGCACCATGTGTGCCTTGGGATGCACATGGCCTTAACATCATGTACTCTGCAGCTTCCTTGGGTTATGCAAGGGCTAGGCCAGGAAATGATGAGGGCACCTGGTGACTCTCCCTGTGTTTGCTGAGTCATGACAACAAGATCCCAGATGTGCCTTCTCTCAGAAAGACATACCCAGGGGCTATCAGCTACCCATGACCGAACTACCTGCAGCTGTACCTCCCAAGTAAACTTTACCAGAACAAAAGGACTACATCTTCTCAGAATGGCTAGAAATAGCCCAATTCATTAGGGCGTCATAAAAGCAAATGGATGGGAAACATGCCAATGTGTGATGGACAAACCCTGCCAATGAAGCACAGCTGTGGGCAGGAGGCTGGCCTTTTGAGTGCTCATCACCAAACATGACAGACTTTCCTTCCCGCTGTGACATGCTCTGTAGAGCTGACACGCCATTTGGGCCACTGGCTGCTGGTGAGTTTTACAGCAACCTTGATTAGTACTCCGGCAGCTGGCACACCCTAACCCAGGACTGGAGCCAAGGAAGAGAGCCTTCACTGGCAACCGCAGGCCCACTGGAGAAGTCTGGCCTTGGGGAAAGTGGAGGACAGCTCGTGCCATAAATGGATAATGAAGACCACCTGTGGCCAATCAGCCTGGACTCCACTGTACTGTTAATGCTGACGAAGGCACAGCTCTGCCCATCTTGGGCCCCTGGCTCTCTCAGATTGTGGGAGCTGCTACAGTGAGGTTCTGGCCCTGGCCCAGGTCTCTGCTCCCAGACTGTTCCATTTCCCTGATACCAGGCATATGGGCTTCTTCAAGTGTAAGGATGTGACAGTGTATACATGCCAGCTCTAGAGCATGTGTGCAACGCTTCTCTCTAAGATTTAAGGTAACATGGGTAAAAGGAGACAGTCACACGATCATCAAAGTGTCTGTAGACATTAAAGAAGCAACTAAAATTTTTACATTGAGAAAAGAAAGTTAACTATATAAATATGAGAAGACCACGTGGCTGGACTCCTCTGCGGGCCAGGCCTTGGGGAACTTCCCAGCTACAGCTCCGGGGCCGGGAGCGGTGAGAGGGAAGCCAGTACTGCTGACCAAGTGAGAGAGTAACCAACACGCCTCCCTCGCGGGCAGAAAAAGAGCAGATAAATAATAGACGAGCAGAGGAGAGCCAAGCGGGAGAGGCATTTGTAACTTGTATTAGATGCGAAGGTCACCATCTGCAGCACCAGAAGCTTCTGCGACAAGACGAGAAAGCCTGAGTTCCACAGAAGACGGCAAGAGGACGCAGCTCATCAACAGGGAAATGGCTTCGACCTTGCTCACAACAAGAGCAATTTAAGCAAACTTAAATGTCATCCCTTGCCTATTAAATGAGCAAACTCCCAGAGTTTGACAGTGCTTCTGTTGGGTGGTGTCAGGGTGCTGGGCAGCTCGAGCTGCTGGCAGGAATGCACAACCTCGGCGAGGAGGAGCCCAGCAACACTACAGATGGGCCGGTGTGCAGCAGCCCACAGCCCAGCCCACCCGCCCACACCCACACCCCCACCCCGTCTAAGAACTGGCCACAGAGCTGCGCCGGCAAAGTGCCAAGATGTCAGCACAATGTCAAAGACAGCGAAGAACCAGAAACAGCCCCACATAGACTCCAAGAAGCACGGTGAGGGCGTGGGTACCGCCGAGTTCATCACAACGCCAGGGGGCCTGTCTTGCTAAAGCCATCGCCAGGGCTCCATGTCCAGAGCAAAGGTGGAGAGAAAGTGGGCAGAGGGTGGCGGGCAGATATGTAGGCTAGTGTGTAAGTCACTAGGAACGGTCGGGTATGGCGGAGCACATTTGCGATTTCAGCACTTGGGAGGTCCAGACAAGAGGATCTGAAGTTCAAAGTCATCCTTAGCTACACACCAAGTTTGAGGCCAGCATTTGAAATTTAAGGTCCTGCTTGATAAACAAACAATGGAAAGTTAAGCTTCAAATAGAAATAAGTAAGTATGCTTTACCTGTAGAGGGAGAGAGGGACGGCATTGGGGAGATGAGGTTACCAGTAGAATCTGAGTCTTTCTCTGGGGGCTGGAGAACTGGCTCAGTGACTAAGAGCACTTACTGTCCTTCCTGAGGGACCTGGGTGCAGTTCTCAGCACCTACATCAGCTCGCAACTTCCTGTAACTCCAGCTCCAGGGGTTCCAACATCCGCACCTGGCCGCCCATGGCACCTGTATACATGTGGTATACATACATACCTGCATACATGCATACACACACAAATTTAAAAATAAAAAAAAAACTTTCTAAAAAAGATTTGATTTTGCAGATTTTACCCACAAATAAGAATCGTGGATTTTTTTTTTTTGTCAAAGAGCCAGATGATAAATAGTGTAGGTTTTATGAACTATATATAGTCACTGTTGCTGTGTGTGTGTGTGTGTGTGTGTGTGTATGTGTGTATGTGTGTATGTATGTATATGTGTGTATGTATATGTGTGTATACTCGTGTGTGTGTGTGTGTGTGTGTGTGTGTGTGTGTGTGTGTGTGTGTATTAGAGTTGATTACAAGCATAAAACCCACTTTTAGACCAGGGGCTATATAAAAACAGGTCACAGGCCAGATGGGGCCTGTATGCTCTGGTTGCCAACCTTTTCTCTAGATTCATGGACATATTTTATTAAATTAAATTATACTACAAAATTAACTTAAAAAGCAATTTTTAAAATGTGAAGGCATAATTAAGCAAATCAAATTAACCAAGTATTGATTTGGTAGGTTAACCACACAAATAGGATTGCTTTTAAGAGAGTTTAAAGCATGGTAATTTAATGGTGGCTCCTTAGTTGAATACACATTATTAATGGAAAATCAGCAATCTGACGGTAGGTCCTAAGTGGATGTACATTGTGAACCAAAAAAAGAAAAAGGGAAAAAAAATCTACAAGAAGGTTAGAGCACTTCTCAGCCATCTACTGCTAATACCAAAAGAAAAGTGTCAAGGTGAATGAAAGTAAAAAAAATCCATAAGAAAAGTTTAAAATAAAGATGAAGTAAA